TAATGTTATGAAAGATTGGGAACAGGGATTAATAAAAAGAAAAGGAAAGATGAATCGCCTATGGCGTTGATTGAAATGATTGTTTTCAAGAAAAGTTCATACATATATATTTTTTTTGTATAAATTGTCACATTACTATTCTAGTATGAGAATGGGTGTTCATGATCATAGCTATCTGTATGTTGTTATTGTTGAGGGCCATGTTGAGTTCCCTACTGGACTATATGTTCATCCCACGTTGTTGAATATTTTTCAGGTGTTGAGCAGAATGTGCTGCAAGAATTGGGTCTTCTGATTTATTGGCCACGGGGCCTCTCTTATGTGGGCGGAATGTCATTGTTGTAAAAGGGTTACACCCTTCTTCTTGTACCTTATGTGATGTAAGCCCAAGGGCAATTCATTAAGTATGTTCATGTAATATTTACTTTGCATACGAATGAGAGTATTGTTAAACACTTCTACAGATTGAATGTATGAGTTTATTTCCGCATGTTATCCTTGAAATTGAATTAAGGTTAATGAATTTGGTAATGATTTCGAGTAATAAAAAGTGGGGCGTGACAAACAAGAAGATAAAACAAAATTTTCTCTAACAACACTTGCCGATTTCGTATCTCTACCTATCCTCTTTGTCACTTTTTATACACGCCACCAATCGAATACTCAATATATATCTGCTCAAATCTCTTGTTTGTCAACATTTCGGGTGCTAGAGATGCTCCAAAATCCCCACAATAATCTCAACAAGATCTAAGGATCATTATTATATTTTTGGCATCTCAGATTATTTTATCATTTTGTATAAATTGTCACATTACTATTCTAGTATGAGAATGGGTGTTCATGATCATAGCATTCTGTATGTTGTTATTGTTGAGGGCCATGTTGAGTTCCCTACTGGACTATATGTTCATCCCACGTTGTTGAATCTTTTTCAGGTGTTGAGCAGAATGTGCTGCAAGAATTGGGTCTTCTGATTTATTGGCCACGGGGCCTCTCTTATGTGGGCGGAATGCCATTGTTGTAAAAGGGTTGCACCCTTCTTCTTGTACCTTATGTGATGTAAGCCCAAGGGCAATTCATTAAGTATGTTAATGTAATATTTACTTTGCATACGAATGAGAGTATTGTTAATCACTTCTACAGATTGAATGTATGAGTTTATTTCCGCATGTTATCCTTGAAATTGAATTAAGGTTAATGAATTTGGTAATGATTTCGAGTAATAAAAAGTGGGGCGTGACAAACAAGAAGATAAAACAAAATTTTCTCTAACAACACTTGCCGATTTCGTATCTCTACCTATCCTCTTTGTCACTTTTTATACACGCCACCAATCGAATACTCAATATATATCTGCTCAAATCTCTTGTTTGTCAACATTTCGGGTGCTAGAGATGCTCCAAAATCCCCACAATAATCTCAACAAGATCTAAGGATCATTATTATATTTTTGGCATCTCAGATTATTTTATCAAATGTGTTTGTTTCCTATCTCTATAATTTATTTTGATGATGTCAAAGGGGGAGAAAAAATATGATTTTATGCATGCATGTGTTTTAAATTATCAAATATCTTGTGTTGCAGAATTATAAAATAACTTGTTAATTTTTATTTTGTGTCAAATCCATACAAATATTGCCATCATCAAAAAGGGGGAGATAGTTAATCATGTTGTTTAATTTTGATGATGTCTAAAATATTAATTGAAAATTTGTAAATAATATTCATATTTTATATTATTTGACACAAAATATTATCTGTTTAAAATATATATTGTATGATGCATTTGTTATAAATATTATTTAAATAAAAATATTTTGAAAATTTTACTATTCATGTTTTGAATAATTCTGTTGATCACTATTCATCTTTTGACAAATTTGATGTGATTGTCTCATTTGAGTAAAATTGTATTATATCTTTTTGATACATATTGCACCGAATTCAAAATTATTTTGCATCTTTTTGTATATAGAACATACCCACATAATGAGTATCATGTGCAATTATTTTACATACTTTAAATATATTATGTAAATATATATTATAATATAAAGTTGGCAATGTTGAGAATTGCATCTTATGTCAAATATAAAGTTGGCAACACATTTCACATGTTGTAGTTTGAAATTGAAATGCTGAAACTACATCTTTTATATAAATTAATTTTATAAAAAGGAAAATGTGGACTTTGCAGGCACATTATTTTTACCTCAATTCTTTATATATATATATAAATATACAATGGTCAAAATCTACATGTTAGTAAGTTTGTTCAAATATCTAGCCACAATTTTTGACAAAAAGAAAAGGGTGCCACATTTTGTGTTTATTGAAAACAAAGTAGATGCCTTTTGTTCTGTCAAGGAGCGTGCCCACGTAATCCATGACATCAACAAGGAGCGTCTTAACTCCAACGGGTATATTTTTGTGTACAAATAGAAGTGTTTTGTGTAGAGAAAAATCAAGAACTTGAAGAGAAAAAAAAATCTGTATGCTCCAAAATTTTGAGTGTATCCTGCTCTCACTTTCAGATCTAAGTGTAGTCTTTGTTCTTACACTTTCATATCTACTCTTTGTGAGAGAATTATTGTGAAAGAGGGTTGAAGTACACTCTTATCCTTATTTATTATTTTGTGAAGCAATTTTGTAAGCGTGAGGAATTTATTGTTGAGCGAGGTTAAATAGATAAAAGTAAGACCTGTGCAAAATCCACAAGCTTGGTGAAGCCTTGGTGGTGTATTGATTTATTTTGATAGTAAAGAAATTCTCAAGGAGGTTCCTTGGGGAGTAGACGTAGGCCCGACGTGCCAAACCACTATAAATCTCAGTGTTTGATTTTCTCTCCCTATCTCTCTTACTTTTATATTGATAATTATTGTTCTATTTTTTATTTGCTAAAATTTTGAATATAGTGTTTATTATTTTTTAAAATTGTAACATTTTTTAACAACCCAATTCACTTCCGCTCTTGGGTTGCCTAGCTAGAATAACATCATCAAAACGCTAGAAAGAGGAGTCTAGCCGCTCATGGAAAAGTGGAGAGATGATGAAGAGGTTGAAGTCGCTATAGAAGACCTTCAATCCAAAGCTTTCAAAACCCTAGTCTTCTTGTATCACTTTTCTAAGACTTTTTCAAACCCCCCCAACAACTTTATTTTCTCCATTTTATATTTTTCTAGCAAAACAGGTGAAAAAGAAAAACAAAACAGGTGAAAAAGAAAAACACGAACGGATTTCGAGATTGGGCAGCACATATGGGACATAAGGCCTCACCTGCAGAAGATGGTGCTGCACATGTAAGAAGATTTCTCCGCACGTGCGGATGGAGTCAGAGATGAATCCATATTTCGAAGTTAGGTTGCACGTGCGGGAAGGTTCCTCCGTATGTGCGGTGAGTGTTTCTTCTAGAATTCTACTTTTTGACTCTTTTTGTACTTGAAACCTGTCCAACCTATTTTAGATCAAACACTTGAAAACTCTATCAACTTATACAAAAAAGAGCGTTAACAAATATCAATTACTGGCCTCAATGTAGCACATTTTAGCCTTAATCATTTACCTACGCTCGTATCCATGTTTCTCACCACCTACCTTTGCCACCCTCAAACCATCCTTACCAACTCAAGACTCTAGCCAACCTAAGCCCTACACATCAAAACCATTTGCATCATTTCTAAATATTTACCCAAATTCATGATCCGTTCAATAAAACTTTTTGTCTATTGATTAAAATTGTTTTTAGTTAAATGGTATCTAACAAACACACCAAACTTGCAATTTGATATAAGGGAAAAAGTAATTACAATATATATGAAAAGTTGTAAAACAATTATAAATAAATATAAATATTCTATAAAATTTCAAAATTGCTCTATCTCTTTCTCTTATTCCTTTTTCTATTTCCTCTCTAAAAATTTTATATACTCCCTGATACCCCTCTTTAGCAATAGAGGTGGCATCGATACCTCATCTTCCACCATCTCTTGTCACCCCAATTCCACCCCCAGCCTTTTCCAACAATTTTAACCCTTTCTTCACACTCCTTTAATCGCCTTAGTGCCTTCACCAACCTTCTCACCTATCCCATATAAGCCCCACCAAATAATTAGAAATCAAACAAGATAGAATCCCTAACATTATTTTATGAATTTAAAAAAAAATTTAAAAAAATTATAATAATGCTATCAATCTAGACTTAACTACCCATAAATTATCCAAATTATCATATTATAGTTCAGATTTATTCTACACATGAACTCTACATCATTCCATAGCACACAAATTAAATCATAATCACACAATCTCATTTAAAATAAATTCAAGATAGATAAAAGTAAGTACATAGAATTATTTTAAAAAATATTTAATAAAATGACATTCAGTGTGTTTGGTTTGAGTTTTTTGAATTCATTTTTCTGAAAATTGAGTTTTTTATTTTTTTGTATTTTAGTGAATATTTTTAAAATTTTAAGCATTTTTCTTTAACTTTTTTAGATACACTTTACTTAGATATATCTAAATAGTAAAATATTTGTGAAAAAATATTTTAAAAAATTAATAAATACACAAAATACGAAAAATATACTAAATTTTGTATTTTTCTTTTATATTTTTGGTATTTAGTGAATTTAAAAAAGAAAGTTCACAAATATTTTATTTTTGAAGTATATTTATGCTAGGTGTGTCTAAAAATTTAAAAAATTATTTAAAATATTAAAAAAATCGATAAAAATTAAAAAAAAATATGAAATGTTTTTTAAAAAGTGAATTTTAAAAATAAACTTAATTTTTTTGGAGTTACAAAAGTACGGGAAAAGAAACGAAAAACAAATACACATTTTCGGACCATCTTGCCGGGCCATCAAAAAAAGCCCATCGTACCCAAAGCCCAACTATTCCGCTAAACCCTAACAACATTAAATCTGAACCGTCAGATTTAGGTCAAAACAAACGTTCTTCATCTCCTCCTATAAATTCAACGCAGAGCCCTATTTCTCATTTCTACTGCAACTAGGGTTTTTCTCTCTCTTCAGCTCACACCTCTCAATCCGAAGGTCGCAGTAGTAGAGGGAGGTTAAAGCGACAGCTCCGTTCGCTGTCCGCCTTGACAAAGCTCTCAGCTTCTTGTCTTGGCCCTCGGTTTTGCTTAGGGTTTTCCTTTGTTCTGTTCATATAGGCACTGTATTTTTTTATAAATAGTTCAGTAGATTCGAGCATCAATGGCGGTGAAAACATCCAAGGCTGATAAGAAGATCGCTTACGATCACAAACTGTGCCAACTTCTCGAGGAGTACTCTCAGATCTTGATCGTGGCGGCCGATAATGTCGGATCGAACCAGTTGCAGAACATTCGCAAAGGTCTGCGTGGCGATTCGGTGGTTTTGATGGGTAAGAACACTATGATGAAGAGGTCTATCAGGATTCATACCGAGAAGACTGGCAACACAGCTTTCCTCAATCTCATCCCCCTCCTCCAGGTAATAGAATTAGCTTCTGTGATCTCTATCATTACCTTCAATTGATTTATATATATATATATTTAAAAATTTATAAGATTGTTATGTTGTCATTGATTACTAATTATGATTGTGTTGTTGTTATGGGAATCAGGGAAATGTGGGTTTGATTTTCACCAAGGGTGATTTGAAGGAAGTCAGCGAAGAGGTCGCCAAGTACAAGGTGAAATTTTGGACTTTTGAGTTAATGAATGCTGTCTTGCTGATGCTTTATTGTGATTATAGGTATATTGATTGTTATATGTAGACCATTTTGTGCATGAAGATGATAAATTGATTGGTTTCAGTTCATACCACTGAATCTAGTTGTATGATGATCTCTATCAACATGACAATATCTATAAAAATATGTTTCATTTGAACTCCCATATATTTTTTTTATGCAATTCAATCCTTGTGTTATTAACAAATCATCAAATTTTTCCAAGAACAAAAACAATTTAAATATGAAAGACTAACCAAAACAATATATAATTATGAAAATTGCAGAAGAAATATAGTTGGTATGACTAATGATTATTACATTCTATGTATATACATTAAGCATAATTTTTGTTTAGTATGTCCTTTGCCTAACTAGTTTGCTAATAGACAGAAGTTGGTTACAAGTGTTGACTAAGAGCGTCTCCAACACAACACCAAAAGTTTAATTTGATATGAATTACTCCAATTTTTTCATCAAATCATTTCAAAAAATTACTTTCTTATCCCAAATTTCCCTTTTCATCAAATTTGATAAAGAAAATCATCTCCAATGCTACATCTTTTTAAATTTTCTTCAATTTTTGATGAAGGATTTGACAAATTCTCAAATTGATGAAAAAATGACTTTATTTTGATTTGATGAACATTTGATGAAAGGATCGATGATGATTTTTGTGCACTTCGTCATCAAATTTGGGGGTTTTCTTAAAGCCAAGTTATTGCTTAAAAAGGAACGAAAAACCAATGGTAATACTTGGCGGTTTTTGGCTTTTATGGTAGATTTTATTCTAAGGGTCATTGGTGACATTAGTAGCTTTGGTCATTTTTGTGCAAAGTGACCAATGTGTCCATACATTTCTAATGCATCTTTTTATTTTATTTTAAATTTTTATTGGTTTTTTTTTATAATCTTTTTGGTGGAAAAATGGAAGAGCCGCACTATTCATTTTTTTAGCTTTTTGGGCTAAAAACCCCCAAAAGTTCATTTGGGAGTTGGCTTGAAGCCAGTTTATTAGGCTTTTTTCAGTTAAAAAAGCTAAGAAGTCTAAACATTATTTGCTAGGCAGGCCAATTTTCCACAAAATTAAAAAAAATTTGCTTTCTCTAAAAAGCATCACAATAGCTGCCATTCTCATGAAATAATTATTTCCCACTAAAAAGCCATGGGTGTGCAAAGCATGGCTTTTTTCGGTTTGCCTTTTTTTTTTTTGAGCAAAAAAGTTGCTTTAAGCCAAATTCCAAATGATTTTGTATGTTTTTCTTACTGTTTAGGTTCTATTAGACTAGACCTTAAAAATTTAAATGATTGGACCAATTTTTTGAGTTGGAATAGACCAAAAAATTCACTTTTTTTTTCGGTTTGTCTTTTTTTTTTTTTGAGCAAAAAAGTTGCTTTAAGCCAAATTCCAAATGATTTTGTATGTTTTTCTTACTGTTTAGGTTCTATTAGACTAGACCTTAAAAATTTAAATGATTGGACCAATTTTTTGAGTTGGAATAGACCAAAAAATTCACTTTTTTTTTGGTTTTAGTGAACTGTTTTTATTCCAATTTTGGTCCAATTATTTTATTTAATTTTTAAGCCTTCTAGTTTAGAGCAACTAGTAAAGTAAAAATCTTGAAACAATTTTGGAAAAAATATTAAAGGGCATCTCTCAATATTCAAAGTTCCATATCTGACGTGAGTTGTCATGAAACTACTCGAGTTTTAGCAAAGTTGTCTTATTAAATGTTCGTATTTATAGTTGCGAACGTGGAACATTTGGTTTGCAACTATTGATGCGATCATTTGTGAGATGTCTATGCATTCGATGAGTTTATCATTTCTATGTTTTAGGTATTTCCAAATTTTATTAATTTTTATGGCATTCTAGTCTAGTCAGACCAAAAAAATAAATAAATTTGACTGAGTACCTTGAAATTTCACTAAACGGAAAGAAAAATCCTCAATCAAACCAAACTAAAACCAAAACCAAAACCAAAACCAAGCCTTAAGGCCCCGTTTGTTTTCAGAGGTAGAATGGAGGGGATTGATAGTGAGGGGATTGATAGTGAGGGGATTAAGTAAAATTGTGTTTTTTTTTTATGATAGTTGTTAGTGTAGGAATTGTTAAATTATTTTTATATAAAATAGTAAAACAAATAAAAAAATATAAAAAATTAAACATTAATATTTTTAAAAAAATTTCCAATATATAAAAAATATAAAAAATAAAAAAACTTCTAATCCTCTCACTATTTTTCTAATACTATCTCTACCTCATCCTTCCCAATCCCCCTTCCAAGGCCTTTACTAATACCAAGGGATTAGGAGCCCTCTCTCTATCTCTCAAAACAAATACCTCATATAGTAGTTCTACCTCACTATCAAACCTAATCCCCTCCCTATAACCCCAAACAAACGGGGCCTAAGTTCCATCAAATGGGGTCAGCTGCATGAATCATTTTTCTCCACTGGACTTTATTCAAAGCCATTTCGTTAGTTAAATTAAAAAGATTTAGGCCTCGTTTGGGAACAGGCTAATTTAGTAACTTTTTGGCTATTTGGCTAAAATATGAGCTAAAAAAAATTACTATGTTTGGGATGACTTTTTGGCTAATTACGAAAAGATGTGCAAAAAGTAGAGAGAAAAGAGAATCTTTGACTTTTTGGTATGGGTTATTGGCTTTTTGGCTAATTTAGTAACTTTTTGGCTTTTTGGCTAAAACAGAGCCTTCTCAAACGAGGCCTTATATATCTTTTTACTATACTAGTTCACATCAATTTAGGTCTATCCCTTCCTTAACACTACCATCTACCATCACTGTATCGCATCTCTTCACTACTGTCTTTGTTGGTCTCCGCTATATATGATCAAACCATTTCAATCTATTCTCTCTCAACTTTATCTTCTATCGGTACTATTATTACATATTTTCGAATATATTCATTCCTAACTCTATCTACTTTAGTTTTGCGTCACATCCACCTTAGCATCTTCATCTCAGTAACATATCTATCATCGCTGTATTGCATCTCTTCACTACTGCCTCGCGTAAGTTCCATCAAATGGGGTCAGCTGCATGAATCATTTTTCTCCACTGGACTTTATTCAAAGCCATTTCGTTAGTTAAATTAAAAAGATTTAGGCCTCGTTTGGGAACAGGCTAATTTAGTAACTTTTTGGCTATTTGGCTAAAATATGAGCTAAAAAAAACTAGTATGTTTGGGATGACTTTTTGGCTAATTACGAAAAGATGTGCAAAAAGTAGAGAGAAAAGAGAATCTTTGACTTTTTGGTATGGGTTATTGGTTTTTTGGCTAATTTAGTAACTTTTTGGCTTTTTGGCTAAAACAGAGCCTTCCCAAACGAGGCCTTATATATCTTTTTACTATACTAGTTCACATCAATTTAGGTCTATCCCTTCCTTAACACTACCATCTACCATCACTGTATCGCATCTCTTCACTACTGTCTTTGTTGGTCTCCGCTATATATGATCAAACCATCTCAATCTATTCTCTCTCAACTTTATCTTCTATCGGTACTACTATTACATATTTTCGAATATATTCATTCCTAACTCTATCTACTTTAGTTTTGCGTCACATCCATCTTAGCATCTTCATCTCAGTAACATATCTATCATCGCTGTATTGCATCTCTTCACTACTGCCTCGGTTGGTTTCCGTTGTATATGATCAAACTATCTCAATCTATTCTCTCTCAACTTTATCTTCTATCGGTACTACTCCTATCTATTTTCGAATATACTCATTCAATCTTTTCTAGTCTTGCTATACATCCACCTTAGCATCCTTATCTTAGCAACATTTATCTTATTTACATGTTTTTTAGCTGCTCAACATTTTGTCCCATACAACATCGCTGGTCTAATTGAGTCTCTATCCAATAGTACAAGTGAGAGTTGTGGCAAGTTTAAGATGTTGCATGGGACACAACTCACTCTAACTCACATCTCCATGGAAATGCTACTACTTTGTGTTGTTCCCACTTTAATTCAATTTTTCCTTTATTCATCTTATTCTCCTTATTGTTACTAAAAAAGTGAGGCAAGGATTAAAATTACTTGGTTATTATTTTGATAGTTTTTGTTATTTGATACTGGTAGAGATGTTATGTCACCTGAACTTTGATTCACATATCCAGTTCACTTAAAAGTGAGAGTAGCTTTCATGGTAAAGAATATGAAAATTATATTACATTTGCTTTCAGCAAAAAACTGCAAATTTTTAATTACATTTGGTAAATTAAGTCTTGTGATTTGTATGTTTTGCCGAAGTCGTAAAGATCTCTGCTTTTTTGAACAGGTTGGAGCTCCTGCTCGTGTTGGTTTGGTAGCTCCTTGTGATGTCGTTGTCCCTCCTGGAAACACTGGACTAGACCCTTCCCAGACATCTTTCTTCCAGGTCTTTAGCCTTAAATGTTTCTAATAAATTTTATCTCCGTTGGTGTTGCATTTCTCACTCTCTTACCTTCCAGGTGCTCAATATTCCAACCAAAATTAACAAGGGTACTGTTGAGATTATTACCCCTGTGGAGCTTATCAAGAAGGGTGACAAAGTGGGGTCTTCTGAGGCTGCCCTCCTTGCAAAACTTGGCATTCGCCCCTTCTCTTATGGTCTTATTGTCTTGTCTGTTTATGACAACGGATCAGTCTTCAGCCCAGAGGTTCTTGATATGACCGAAGATGATCTCATGGAGAAGTTTGCTGCTGGAATTTCCATGGTCACTACATTGTCACTGGCTGTTTCTTACCCAACTCTTGCAGCTGCACCCCACATGTTCATCAATGCCTACAAAAATGTTTTGGCTGTTGCAGTTGCAACTGAATATTCCTTCCCCCAGGCAGACAAAGTTAAGGAGTACCTCGAGGTAAAATGATTCTGCCAATTAGTGGATAATATTATTACTTTTCCTCCAGAAATGTTATTTTTTTTTACGATTTTCTTTTTTTCACAGAATGATGACTTGTTTGGGTTTAAAATTGCAGGATCCGACCAAGTTTGCTGTTGCTGTGGCTCCTGTTGCAGCTGCTGCTGATTCTGGTTCTGCTCCTGCTGCTGCTGTGGAAGAGAAGGAAGAACCAGCGGAGGAGTCTGATGATGACATGGGTTTCAGTCTGTTCGATTAATTTAGCAAGTTTGTTATGGTGTGGTGTTTTCAAACTTATCCGTCTGTTTGCTTTCTTATCTTTTGTTGAATTGGAGTAACGTAGGAATTGTTGTTTTGAATGGATTGTAACTTAGTCAAGTTTTAATATTTAGACCATGATCTTCTTTGTTTTTTCTTTTATCTTGTTCCTTAATTGTTCGTTCGATAAATCTGTGTGCCATTCATGTCTTTGTATTTATGGATAAGCCCTGGCTGTGAAGCTCTATTATATTTCTGTTTCTTTCGTTTTCTTGCAATGGAAAATTGTTGGATGTTTTTGCATAGGTATGGGATTCTTGGTGCATCATTTGACCTTTCAAGAACAACGGATGACTCAGCAGACTGGTGGTGTTGGCGGTAATTGGTCCCGTCAGTTACAGGGTCAGTCCTAGGTTCCTCTTTCTTGCCCTTGCTCTTGATTTTCCAGGCTCCTCAAACCCACCCTCGTCTTAATTTTCTTTCTTTATATGGGATCATGGGGTTGAAGGAGAAAAGCAAATTGAACTTCATTAGTCTTCCTCATCACAATTTTATTTGTTCGCAAGAAAATCATGGTTAAGAATATTCTGTGATGTTCTTTTGATTTTGAAGTTGATTATTTTGGTTTGCACAGCGGTAAGTCTTTTTTATTGTTGATTATGGTTTAAAATGTTTGGTTAGTTTTCAAATCAAATTTTGAGAACTCAAAACTTAAAATTTGAAAAAAATTAGCATATTCAACTTGATATAGTAGGAGAGGTTGAAGATATTTTTTTTGTTAGTTAAGGTTTCTTGATGTGAACATATTAGAGAAATTTCTTAATAAAAATTATCTTTTTCTGTGAAAATCTTAGAGGACTCTACTATGATAATAGTATATGTTCTTTTATCTTATAAAATTTTAATATTAGGAATTTTTAAAAAAATTATTTTAAAATTTGTATGGTTTACAATTTTTTCAAAACCTTTTTTCATTACTGTTTCTATCCTTTTTGTCATTCTCTTACATTTTATATATTAATCAATTATTTTCTTTTCTTTCCTCTCTCATTCTCATCACACGTTAATCAATCATTTTTTTTACACCTATTTACTTAATTATAAAAAACATTACAAATCATATCAAATTACAAAACTCTCAAATTACAAAATCATTTTCAAAATGTGAAAGACTATAGTACATCTCCTCAAAAGATGTGCATATAAAGAAGAAAATGAAATATTTCATATTTTTTAAGTTATAATTAGAAGAAAAAAAATCATAATCAAATATCATATCAACTATAACCATAGATCTCATAAAATAATGTCATGATTAAAGGAAAAAAAATTAGTCATAATTAAATTAAAAAAATGACATAACTTAAGGGTTGATATGTAATGGGTGCGTATAGTCAAATTCTTCTTTCAAAATATACAATCAAATAAATTTTTAAATTTTGATTTTTTTTAAAAATTTTATATTTTAAAATTATTTTTAAAATCAAACCAAACGGTCCTTAGTTTTGCTTTTTAGGTAAAGGAATACTAGTCTACTGGGATATCTAATTTGTTTCTCTATCATGTAGGCATTTTTGTTGGGGTTACTATAGTTATATAAAATTGTCAATAATGATTCATCCCTCCTTTTCTACTCACCCCTTTGATCCTCTTTCTCTCATTGGTTATATTTTTTTTTTTTTTCTTTTTTTTCCTACTCCTCCAATCACCACCCGCCACGTGACAAAGGAGGGTGAGAGGTGACCCCAAAAGGGGGTCCAAGCATTATTCTAAAATTGTAACTTCAAATAGTTACAATTTTATACCTGTAGTTACTGCAAATAATTAACTTGAGGAGAAAAGCGATGCCGAAAAATCTCCTCGACAGTAACGCTAACCAACGCGATTCACCAAACCTTGAAAAAGCTACTGAGGAAGGAAATCATTTGATTAGGAGCACAAAGAAGATTAAGAGTATGAACCTAATGGAGGCAAAAGAGATGGAGCAAATGATAGACATGGAAACTGAGGTACGAAGGGAAACACCTAACATGCAGGACTCCTCCCTTGGGCGACCTTTCCCACCTAATCCTTCAAGGAAGCACTAACCATAGTCAAAAATAGAGATTACATCTTTGATGACAGAGTTGAAATCCTGTCATCTGATGAGGAGGAGGGTGAACAGAGAAGTAATTCCACAACTACAGATTTCTATTTGCAATTGCTAAGTCTCTTGGGAAACCTCTCAAAATTGACTAGACGACAACAATGGCTACTAGGGGGAAATTTGCTTGAATCTGTATTGAAATAGATCTCACCAAATCGTTGAAGTCCAAATTTATTTTAGAAGGTAAATACTATAACATAGAGTATGAATCATCTTTGCACTCATTCTGCTTTCTTTGTGGCAAAATTGATCACCATAAGGAAGCGTGTAGATTCAAGGACTCAACTAATCAAACGACGGGGAAAAAAATCATAGGTAACTCTGCAACTAACGATAACCTGGAACAAAAACATGATGAGGAAGAAACGTTTGGGCCTTGGATGTTAGTGACCAAACATGGAAGGAAACCGATCCAGAGTAAAGACAGTCAAGACCCACTTGGCCCAATCCCAACACCTAACAAATTCAAATACCTTGAAGAAAGCCAACACACAAATTGGCCTATACCAATCAAAGGACCCCAAAAGCAAAACCAAAGTTGGTCAAGCCCAAGTTAAACCCAAGCAACCAGACCTTCAAATGCAGCTATAATCTAGTTCAAAACTAATGGAAGAAAGCTCATCACATCAACCTAGAGATCCTATGGCAGATTCACCAAACTGTGAACAAGCAGGAGCCCTCAGTTGCACACTACAAGAAAAAGGGTTTTTACGGCGCGCACCCTACTATGATGCGCACGCGCACCTCATATTATAACCAGTCATGGAAAGTCATTTACTTTCAATGACATACTTCGTATGCCGTTAAAAACTATTTAACGATAGCTTTTGTGCGTCATTGTTACTTTTTTTACGATATGCTATAGTACGCCGTTAAAAACTACTTAACGGCAGATTTTGTGCATCGTTATTACTTTTTCTACGACTACGTTTGCACGCCGTTAATTAGTGAGACAAACAACAACGCTGAATGTGCGCCGTAAAATATATAATACAACGACTTGCTCAGCCTGCTGTAGATAAGTAGAGCATATCACGACGTACATGGAATGTTGTAGAATATTTCATATAATGACTTAATTTGCATGCCGTAGAATGTGCATTTTTTTTTTAATTCAGCAGATTCCATATTTGACCTATTTTGTACAATCTAATATTACAAACAAGCTTCACACAATATTAATCAACCACCAAAATATCATCTCAACCATGAAAAATAAATTATATCTATAAATCATAAACATTCAAAAATTATCAATATATAAATTCTAAACATCCAAAAGGACTATCCTTAAGTTCTAAATTATCCAAAAAGTTATAAACCATCCAAAACTATACATATATAAGTTTGTAAACATTACCCAAAACTATTCGCAAATTATAGAAATCTATTCATCAAAGTCCTCAAAAACTATCCATAGATGTTAGTTCTACTCAAAGTCAAAGCTAATGAAATGGGTCAGCCAAGCAACATTCTTCCAATAGCATCTTCAAGCACAAACATCTCACGATTAGAGCGAAACAATGGCGCATTGACTATGACATGGTTAATCCATACTTTCCAGCACCCAGGGCCAAAAGGCACGTGATGTACCAATGCTTTAGAATCTGGTGATGCAATTGTGCCTTCCGCAACCACCACCTTTGTTCCATCCCAATTCAACAATTTGCATTTGGCATTGTCCAAGGATCCACCATTTCCAATTTCATTTGCATCATGCAACTATCATGAAAACAATACATAAAATAAGCTAATGAATTGAAGACAAAATTAAAGTTATTATTAATGCCATATAAAATTTACCCAAATATCTTCATCGCCTTCACTGTTTTCGTCACCCTAAAAAAATTGTAATATAATATCAAGTTATATTTGTTTACTCAAATTTTGTAGACGATGTGCGATGTATATGAAAATTTGACAAAAGCTCTTGAGTAGAAAAGCAAGTAAGCAAACAAAAGCACAAGCACGAGAAAAATGCAAATGAGTAAATTAATAATGCTATACAAAATTTATTCAAATATTTTGTTGTGAGTGCATCCTACGTTCACCACCTCCATGCACCCTATGTTCACCTCTATCATTTTCCTCACCCTAAAAAAATTGTAATACAATGGCAAGAAGCATTAGTTTACTCAAATTTAGAATCTTAATGTAATCCATATGCAAAATGACAAGCTTGAGTAGAAAAGCAAGCAAGCAAAAGCACAAGCATGAGAAATGTGCAAGTTTACCAGGGTTTTTTCATGTAAGTGTCCATTTGCCCCTTTGCTTAGCTCCTACAAGTATTAATCATTTTTTTCTTTTCTACAAACGTTGCGATACTTGAAAAGGTGGAGTAGACAATTCCAAGAAATTTGCCAACAAGTAAGAAGCTAATATGAAAACACCATTTGAAACATGTCATGTTTGAATATAACTTTGATTACATCAAGATGATGATTGTTTCATCTTTGATCATCAAGCCATACTTAAATTAAGAATTATACTTACAATAAAGAAATGGATCTTGTATTTACAATGCTTAAAAATAAAGAATAATGTTGTGTGTGCCTTATAAACCAAATTCAATTGCTAGATTATGGTCTAAATCAAACCAAAATGATATCATAAGTTCATAACTCAAGCAGCAGTTCCTTATTTGACAGACCACTTTACAATTTACACCCTTAAGTTTAAGATGGGAAGCACATGTGACAAGCAACTATGATTTTAATAAATGTACATGAGACCCATTATGATAATAAATTTAAATTAGAAGTCTATGGACTGTGTAGTTCTTTTCATAAAATTAGAAAAAAGAAAGAATTAGAAAAAGCTACTTGAGTTTCTCTATGAGAATGTTTCTTGCCCGTTGCATCTTCACTTGGTTCCTACAAGTTTTAATTGAAATTTGTTTAAAACTTCTATGAAAATTCAATATATATAACATATATTGTCACATTCTTCATTTTTTTTACCTCGTTTTGCCTTTTTCCTTTTAACATTTCAGCTCTCATCTCTCGAAGTTCTTGTTCTAAGAGTAGCAATTTTTGATTTAGTTTTCTTATATTTTGATTTGGTATTCTTGTGCATCAATTTTCGACGGCAATGCTTCAAATCCAAGCCCTCTTACCCTA